ACTTGGGGTTGTTTGCATTCTCCCTCATGTACCCTGGAGGGGGGGGAAGAGGAGATCGTGGTGTGATGTTCTACATGACTGTGCTATAATAGCGATTCTCTGGGAATCTCTTGGTTGTGTGGTTACAAGAGTACAGTGAGAGGACATCAGTTTGCACATCAGTTTAATCAAATAAATGCTGTAGCACTCCAGCAGTAGGTAAACAGCTCACTATAATAATGTGCTAGGCAGGTTCTGGGGTATCTAGCATTACAGCAGACAAGTCACAACGTAACACTTCTGTAGCCTTGAAAACATTCCTACCAACATTAATAATCAAAATGCCTCCATGATGCAGATAAAACTAATGAGCCAGACGAGCGTGTTTGTCCAGGTTTTTGGAAAGAACCAACAACGCTGCTAAGTTCTCATCTCACAGTGCTGTGCTCAGAGCCCGGTGCCAAATTTCACTCTTCTTTTATACTAGAAATGCGTTAATAGATGAAAATACAGTAATAAAAAGCACTGTAATGTTTGGAGTGCATTGTAATAAAGGCCAGGATTTTTGCACTCGTCAGAAACTGTCCAGCAGGATGGACTTTTACCAGCTTTTGAAAGGGATGTGAGGGAGGGCGTAACAAGACATAGGGTTCACATTTCCTCTGTTCACATGCCTTGTAATGTTTAAGGATGTAGATAGTGCCAGTCAAGAGCCTTGCTGTGTAATAATTTGACTTCATTTTAAGCAGTAGCATCTCTCCAACACAAACTGCCGAGCAGCCAGAACTTTAAATCAGTCAAGAAGCTCATTCCCTTTATTATTTCTTTTTCCCATAAATGTCAGTTAGAAACATGTTAAAAATTACAAGAATTTTCCAAAAAATGTTCAGTTCAACTACCAACGAGCTGTCCTGTCCCACTTGTCAAGTGGAATTATTGTTATTCTTTTTCTGGTCAGTTGGGTCAACAGAGAAAACAGTCTAGTCCTGAAGCCTCGGATTGCCAAATTGTCTTCTCCATGATTGTTTTCAGCTGTGTATGACTATGGTGCAGAATATTCCCAAAGCTTGCAGAAAAAGTTTGAATGGCTGGATATGTTAGAAACAGGATTGTTCTTTCCCTTTGCTAGGAGGTTATAGTCATGCTGCGATTGCTGATTCAAGCGGTAGTGACTGCTCTGCTCCTGCTTTCCTGGTCAAAATATTATTTTGCATGCAAGTGAATGTGTGCATGGAACAGCTAGATGAGATACAGTTGAGTTAGGTTATTACTGCTGTTTTGCTGTTATTTATGGTTTTTAGGAGGATATTAATGATGCCTTACAGCCTGTTGTTTAGCCAGCGCCTGTGGGTATAATCTGGGCCTTAAGTTTTGATCTGCTGATTCCTTCCTCTGGTACATTCAACCCTGACCTTGTTCCCCTTGAACCAAGGTGAAGATGCAATCATTCGTGTGAAGAGGCAAAACGTACGCATTTGATTCTTATCTGTCTGTTCCCATGCAGTGATACCTGTAATGTTGGTCGTCTTAGAAATGCATGTAATGCTGGTAATTGCTGTGTTATCAGTTGTATGCATATATTTGGTGCTGTTTAGCTTCACACTGCACATACTTCAATATTAAGATTGTGATTGCAGACGTTAATGTAAAGGAGATTAGAAGGTAAGGTGAATATGAAACCAAGTGCTGTGGGTGGCTGAGCAGCTGCAGTGCTGCTCACTTCCTGACACAGTTGAGCTTAAAGTATTTATCCCTACTCTGCTTTTTATGGAACGTTTTGTTCACCAAGTGCATCCCCTTTCCATACTTGAGTATCGGGGCCTGAGTTTTTTGCTTGCTTGGGGTTTTATTTTGACTCCTACCAGTGAAACATTTCAGAAACATGGAAGCAAACTGTAAAACTTCGTTTCACCAGGTATTTTGTTGTTGCTGTTGCTGCTATGCTATTGTAGCTTGCTGTTGGAGTTCTGCAGATGCTCTCTCCAGTGGCTTTTTTCCTTTGGATCTTAGAGAATGATCTTAATTTGCATTAGAAAACTATTTTAGAAAACTAAACTATTAGAAAACTAAATTAGAAAATTAAAATTTTTTTTTGTGTTTGTGTTGCCAAATAATATTTATGGATACTTTTTCCTACAAAGAAGCTGTGTAGTGGTGGACCACCTATACTATTTGAGGTAATATCCAGGATCCAGATGATTTCTGCTGCTTCCAACATTGACACATTGTTCTATTTGAACAGGCTTTCTAAAATTATCATTTCTAATTACACTGATCAGTTCTGAATACAAACCCTTATTGCTTTGAAGGTCTGAAAGCAGATTCTTGTCATCATGTTAGGAACTAGCCAAGCTCTTGTGGACCTGTTATCTATCCAGAAATGTCAGCTTAGCCCTGAGGTTACTCTTGCTGAGGTAGTCCTTGAAATATAGAAGAGCTTACCAGACTCTGAAGTTCTTTTATTCCCAGACAGCTTTTTCAGACACTTGTAACAGCTCTGGTCTTCTGCTTGCTTAAAAAAGGAAATTGTCTTGCATTTGGTAGAATAGTTGGAGTAGATAGAGTTGTTGGCAGTGTCACCTTTCATTTGTACTGTATGCCATTACAGACAATTGATCATTCAAAGATCTTTTAAGAAGTATGGAGGAAGTGCGAGATATAAGCTATATTTTTTGTTCAAGGTGTTGTTTTGTTTTTTTAATCAAGTCCAAGCACTTGATTAATTTCCACTGTTTGGATGTCAGTCATCACTTCTAAGCACAATAGAAGATGCCAAGTAGCATCTTAGGGATTTCCATTATTTTTCTCCTCTTTCCAGGAGATTTATAAAGCTTCTGAAAGAAGAGTAGTTTTACTAGCAGTGCTTTCTAGTAATTGTTGGTACAAGTTGTTCCCTTAACAGAAAGGAATCTTGATGAACGAAAACCTGTTGCTGTGTTTTCCTCAGGGAGCAAAGGAGAAGAGAAGCCTTAGAAACTGGCTGGTCACCCTGGGCTGTTCCCTTCTTAAATTGGGCTGCAAGTGACCAGAGGCCTTCCCTGTGCCATCACAAGTGTTTGTGGAGCTCTGCAGTGAACCAATCTGGCTAAAAACTCATTTAGATCAGCTCTTTTGTGTGGTTTGCAGCAATAACCTTGCTGCCGTTGTGCTTGCACATGGGAAGGAGTGATAGTGAAGTGAGAACAAGTAGCTGGCGGCAAGGAGGAGGGCAGTGCCACTTCACTTGGGAAAATTGCTTGGATATTGTTCAGATGCTGCTCTTGTAGACCCTTCTTTTCATTCTATCATATCCTGGCAACCTGAGAACTGTTAAGAGTTTCTGAGATATTACTGGGAGGTGAAACTCTATCTGCTTTTGGATTTGGAAACTGGTACCGTCCTGCTCCTGATGGGAATATGAATTTGGTTTTGATGTGCACTTCTTCTGAGTCTCAAACTTCATACATACGCCTAGATGAAATTTTCTTCTAGAAGAGTGTTCTCATGAGGATTTGAGTTTCTGTTCTGCTTAATGGTCTCAAGAAGATGTCTCCTGTGTTGTCTGTTTTCATTTAATCTGGGCAGTTGGTGGGACCTGGAAGTTACCATCTCTGGCTGATGTTTCCTGTACTGGACAAAATGGAAGTGACTTTTTCTGCTTTCCAGTTCTGGATTCTTGCTGACATGTAAACACTTGTCAGTTCCGAAACTGACAGAGAAAGAAGGAAAAATACATGTATTGCTCTTTATGTGCTGAAGCATGTGGGAAAAATGTCTTCAGCAACCTTATATTTTACTGTGTCCTGGTTTTGTGCTGATTAAAAAAAACTGCCAGAAAGAAAATACTGAAAACTCTGTTAGTCTTTGAAGTGCGTGTGCTGCAGGTTGTCTTACTGCAGTAAAACTTTGCAGTGGGATGGAGGAGCACAAGAGAGAGAGAAGTATCCTATTGCCTTAGTTTTGTGTCAGATTTGACCAGATAAGAAATATTTGCTGTAGCTGTTACTGGCTTTCTTATTGGGCTGTCTGAAACAAATCCTTAATGTAATTTGTTTGTGAAATCCTGAATCCTTCTGTTAGTTCAGTTATTCATGATAGTGTTTGTCTGTCAAACAATGCATCTAACATGGTGATACAGCTGGCGGAAAGTTTGGCTAAGCTAGGGAATTCTGTATAATGTTATTAAATATTTGGACATAACCCCGCCAAATTTTTGTTTTGGTCTGTGCTAATGAAAGGAGTGGCATTGTTCTGTGTTTAGCCTTGGCTATCTTTTGTAACTTCTTCCATTAGCACTTTCTTGATTGAGGAAAAAGTAGTTTTGGGAAACAGCCATTATGTGGCTGATATTTAAAAAAAGAAATTAAAATTGTGATCTTACTTGGAGGAATGGTAGAGACACAAGTGGGATTTGATACCAGCAGTCTGTTCAAGAATGGCCTTATGAGCATTGGTTTGGAATCTTTGTTAAACATTGGTTACTACCAACGCTATTTTACCTCCAAAAACAGAGCTGCTAGTGCTGTGCAGTCCTTGTTTTTCCATGGAGAATGTGGTAGGCTGCTGTACAGGCTGGAAATTGGAGCTTGGTGTCTGCAAGCTGCATGTTTGCATGAGTCAAAATACATTTGATCTGGCTGTTGGTGTGCTCCTTGGGAATTCACTTGCATGTAATTTTTTTATTTGGCTAATGGAGGGCTGCTGCAAATCAACTGACTAGCTAACTGTTTGCATGGATGTCCTTATTTTAGATTGAGAGTGCAGTGTTCCATGTTAGTTTGGAAGGCTGGGAGAAATATGCTGTCATTGTGAAATGAGAGTGCCAGCACAAATAGCTAGTTGAGAAGTGTTTAGGAATAACTCCCTGTTCAGACAAGTCTGTAGTTCAGTGAAAGCTGGATCTCCTTGTTTTGAATGTATCTCTGATTGTAGTGACAGCAGCAATTCACAGACTGCTGTGTTGTGTTAAAGCGTTCACATTACTGTTGCTAGGGCTTCAACAACAACGAAAAAAGCAATACTACGAATGGTTTTCTCCCCAGGTGCTGAAGAAGTGTTGCTGCTTGCTAGGAGGACTGACTTGAGAAGGATTTCCTTGGACATGCCAGACTTCACTGACATTATTCTGCAGATAGACAATATCAGACATGCAATTGCCATAGACTATGATCCTGTGGAAGGCTACATCTACTGGACTGATGATGATGTTCGGGCAATTCGTCGGGCGTACCTTGATGGCTCAGGAGCACAGACTCTGGTAACCACAGAAATCAACCATCCAGATGGAATTGCTGTGGACTGGGTGGCAAGGAATCTGTACTGGACTGATACTGGAACAGACCGCATTGAAGTGACCCGTTTGAATGGGACATCGAGAAAGATCCTTATATCTGAAAATCTAGATGAACCTCGTGCAATCGTGCTCAATCCTGTGATGGGGTAAGTTTTGTTCTCATTGGTGGCCTTGCTGTAGTAGGCTTTTGGGTCCAGTTTGTGCTCTCTTGAAACTGAGAATCTGCAAATCACAAGATTATGTGTATATTATTTGTCAAATGTTCATTTTGTTCCAGACATGACAAGCTTTCCCTTCTATCACGTATATATGCTATGCATGTAGAAGGTGACTGCTAAATACCAGTGTTCTTAAATGAAAATGTGTTGTGTGTTTGCTTGAATCTTATTTTCTCTGTATCTTCAGCATTACAGCTGTTAAAGAACCGAGCTGCTGCACGTTTTCAGTACTTTGAGTTAACTGTTAAACTTCAGGTTAGCATTACTGCTTACAGAATTTACAGAATGGCTGAGGTGTGGGCAGGGGTTAGAACTGGATGACTGTTGATGTCCAATCCAGGCTATTCTACAATCTAGTCCAACTCCACTCAAGCAGGGACATTTGGAGCAGGGAGCCCAGGACTATATCCAGGTAGCTTTTGAAGATCGTCACAGAGGAGACTCCAAAACCTCCCTGTCCAGAAAGGTTACAGTTCAAGTTGGTTGGTTTATTTGCTAAGTTTGGAAAGCAGAAAGTTAGCAAGTTCTTTCAAAAACAGAATAGATCTTGACACTTTCTGTATTGCAGGTTACATGCATTGGCTGTTTCTGCCCTTTTCTTTACAGCTACATGTATTGGACAGACTGGGGTGAAAGTCCAAAGATAGAATGTGCTTATTTGGATGGATCAGAGAGGAGAGTTCTGGTGAATACATCCCTAGGTTGGCCTAACGGCTTGGCACTGGATCTTGAAGAGGACAAACTTTACTGGGGAGATGCAAAAACAGATAAAATTGAGGTAAGAGGTGATCCCACGGGCATTCTTAGAAAACAAGTGCTTTTATTATGTGCAGCTTTGCATTTTGGAATCATTTATCCATTTTTTGAGGCGTCTCTTGTTTTGTTAAATATAGTGTTAAAATGAATGAAACGAGACACATTTGAGGAGGGAAGCGTATCTGAGTGTTTTGTTACTTCAGAAAACATTTGTAAGAGGTGCTGTGTTATGTCAAGAAATACACAATTAAAAACGCATTGCTGAAAGTATAGTTTGATTGCTTGAAATCTCAGGTTTGATCTGGGGCCTTTGCAACAGATGGGATACACAGGTATAACCTTCTTGACTTTTGCCTTGTCTGTGGCATTTGGAACTAACATCCGAAATTGCTGCATGTGAAGACTTGATGTAAGATTTGTACAGGAGAGGGTGGATGTGGAGGCCCTAGAGATCCATACTTCAGGACCTTGATGAGTATGTATTGTCCGGAGATACATGGAAGAAAAGTTGTTTTTGCACTTGGGAGGCCTGAGATGTTCTAAGAGATGCTTTTTTTTCCCATTGTTTTTGCCTTAGTATCCCATGATTAAATCTTAATCTAAAACAGTAATTGTGAAGAATGCTACCACAGATATTAGAGCTACAGGGAACTGAGTCTTGAAGTAGTTTCACCGAGAACAGAAGGTGATAAGTTAAATAACTGTAAAATGTAGAATCTAGTTCTGGGGCAAGGCAGTTTGGGCTTCTTTGTGTGTCCATGAGATTCTGATGTTTCACTGAATTATTGTTTTTTGTCTGAGAGGTGATCCAGCAAATTTGTCGAGCTTGTTAATATTGTGCTGTAGAAGGGGATTCGTCATTTTCGTTGACAAGGAAAATTGATCTACAGCCGCTTTATAAATGTCATGTGGATGCATTTGTAAAACTGCTGGAGGTCTGTGTGTAGGAGTAGGCTTACTTACGTTAATAGGTCTGTTTAGTTTGAGGCAGCTGAGAAGAATAAAAGTGAGGTGTGAGAAAAGAGAGGGAGACATCTCAGGAACCGCTACACAGACTTTAGAGGCTACGTGGTCAGACAACTCATAAAGTGGTTGTCAGCTTTCCACTACTTTCCTATGGCCAGCAAAACGGTCATGATATTAGTTGGGAAATAAGGGTGCTGGAGAGACTATTGGAAAGAGAGGAGGCTTTTTCCAAGAGAAAGTAGAAAAATATGGGTACAGCTGGATGTTGTGAGAAGGCCTGAATAGTTGTGAGCAGTTGCTTAAGATGCTGTTGTGTTCACCTGGTTACTGGCCCCTTTTGCTCCAATTTCTGAGAAAGAAGGAAAAATTGGATGTTGAACCTCAACCTAAATTAGCTGTAGTAGTTCATGATTAATCTGAGGGTTTGGATGGCAGCATGAGATATGACCTGAGGTCAGGCAAATTCAAGAATTCGTACTCTGTTATTAGAGCTGTCATACTGACAAATGTTCCTTTTTAATATGTTGTTTTAATGCTCTGGGCATCCGGTAGCAATAGGTTCCTTGAGCTATCTGTGGTGTGTTGTTGTTTATCTTTCACAAAGATGCTGGAAAAACAGTTGGAATGTTAAAGGTGCTAAATAATTAGCTCTGAGTATTTTAATTTCAGAAGAGAATTCTCCAGGGAATTTGAAACGGCTTCAAAGTAAATTAAGGGGAATAACCTAGTTAATTGAAAGAAATTCATAAATAGAATTGCCAAACCAAAATGTGAGAAAGAAAGAGAGCTTTTTTTCCCCCCTTCTTTCTAAAATAGTAGTGAAGTTTTCTTCCTATGGCATGAGCTAGTTTGTTGAGATTGTGTTTTGACTATGCAGTTAAAACAGTCTGTTTCTGTGATGATACTTAAAAGCAAGATCAAAATTTCATACTAGTCCTGTGAAATCAGTTGAGTTTTACCTTATTTGGGGTAATAGTATGTACAGCATAAATAAATGTTGAGGCCTTTGGTAATGGCTGTGCTCTCTAAAGTTTTTGCCATCTGGAAGAAGGGAATTAAGACTGTCTGCTAGCTTCAGACGTGTAACTTGAATGTTTGGCAGTGGCTTGGTGTGCTGGGCTTGATGACTTCTGATGCAGTCCTCTCCCTCCTTACCTTTCAGGCTGTAGGAAAGAGAACGTTCCAGATTCCACCTTTTGTAGCTGGAACTGAAATTGTGCAATTCATTTTGCTGGTTTAAGCTGTCTGTTCAGTCTGTCTTACTTCATTGTAAGACAGTGAAGCCAATGGTACTGTTTGGTTTGGCATCAAAGTTTAGGAAAATCAGAGAAGCCAAAGTAAGGACTTCTTATTCCCTCCGTTTTGCTTATTATACTTACTTTTTGTGGTTCTCTGCTGCTCACAAAAAAGGAAGAGTAGCTCACTTGGTCTTAGGAACAGAAGATAATCTTACATGAAGCAGATTGTGACATCCCTAGGTTTTGATTGTTGTATATTGTGCAACTCAGTTTTAGTTGTTAGCACAAAGATTTAAATATTTAAATCTCCATGCCTCTAGCAGTGAGTTTACATGTTCTTACACTAAAGCAGGTGTAAACATTCTCATTTTAAATCACTACTCTCTCTCCCCAGCTTTTTTTTCCTACACTTTTTATCTTCATGCTCAGAATTTACTTTTGCTTGTTATCTTGAGCAGATTCCTTCTGACATTTACAAATACCTGAATAGGACCACTTAGGACATAATGGGGAAAAGTGGCATGGATGCTTGCCTGGGATTCTGACCAGTGGTGTGAAGGGACATGTTGTGGTCTGTTCTGGACTGGTACTGTGTAGCTGTGAGTTAAAGTGGCACTGGCATGCTATCGGGAGAAGTGAATGTTAAATGTCTAATGCAGAACTTCCATTAGAAAATAAATTTCCAGTTTCCATTTTGGAATGTGAGCCAGACATTTATATTCCGCTCACTTGGGAAAGAACTGCATGACTTAAGTGGTTATTGACATAGCTCAGGTATTGGCTGGTTCCACATCAGTCTCCAGTAAGGCTTACTTTTAATAATCCTCCTTAAAAGATCAAAAAATTGCACTGTGGAAATATTTCAGAATATCTAAGGTTTATCTAATGGATTGTATTTCACATTTCTTATTTATCTTGACGTATTTGCAACCTTATGGTCCTTTCCAGAAGGATTTTGGTGTTTGAGAGCTTCCTTCAGTACCACAGGTTTTCCCAGTAAGCTGTATTTAGCACTGCCCTGCTAGCCAAGGTACATGGTCAAGTCTTGCTGTATGGTATACGAGGTGGGACATTTCCATTTGTGCTTTCTATTGAAGTTATTCTTCACTTCAACACGAATTCATTGTTTTCATGTATGCATTCTTTTGCCAAGAGAATTTAAAGGGCTCGCCAGCACAGCTAGTGTGTCTTGGTGGGTTGTTCTGTCTGTGCAAGTGTATTGTCTACCGTTTGTTAAAACCAAAAATTAGCTAACTGAAAATCTTCCGGAAGCCTAAGATCTACAGGAGAGCCATAAGGTAAAGGAGAAATTCTCATCCCCACTATTTTCCTCTATCCAGCCAATAGCACCTGTCTCTAAATGTCCCACAGTTTACCACGTAGAACGTGCAAAGTTGAACGATCTGAAGGCATTATCTCTGCTGCTTTGCAGAATGCACTTACTCTGTCCATGGGAAAAGTAGTTAAGCCTGATGCCTGTTAATGTGAGAAGTGCCCTGTATAAGCCTGTACAATTTCCTCTAGTTTTCTGAGAAACTACTTGTAGATCAGAATTGTTTTCATTCTATGCTATGTATTCAACTGCCTTCCATTTAGGAAAAAATGCATGAATTCAGCCTGTGTGCTTGTTCATTTCTCTGTTCAGTATTCTGCTTTCTCTGATATTTTAGACCTGCAGGAAGGCCTCTTTGTGTCCCAAGTTCTTAAAGAAGTGGCTCAACTTCATACAGCTTGGAAAATTGATAAGCCTGGTGGGGCATCTGCCCTGTTTTTGCTAGACCATGGGTTTGAAATGTACTGTGAATGTCTGGTTATTTCATTGGTTTATTTTGTTGCTTTTTCTGACACTTTTCTTCTTTAACAAGTTGTGACATTACTTCTGCATGCACTCTTCAGCAAATAGAAAAGAAATGCTGCAGAGCTGTTCAGGGTGCCGAGCCGTGTTCTGTACCAGGAGAGTATGTTCTTATTTGTGTGTCTAAAACTTCATGCCGTGAAAACAGCGGTTACTCTTTCCTGACAGAGACCTTCCCATCTGCAGCATTCAGCTGCAATACAAAGGGCCCAGTCACTCCACAAGCAGTTTGTATCCTGAAGAAACCATTTGGCAAGGCTTGTCAGACTTTGCGTGACAGCAGCCTATGGGGCTTTCACTGCAAATTTGGCACCCTGTGGTAACATTGTTCCCAGCTTTTTAAATCTGTGCTTGGTTTGGCAGAGTCCAAGGCAAGGAAAAATATATACTAAGTTTTGAGTCATGTCTGTTGAAATCATGTGTTTGTCCACACAGCTTCGGCTGTGAGTAAGGGGCACAGAGTAATCTAACAGAAATTTGGATTTTACTGACCAAGAAAAGGTACTTTCCAGGAACGAACAGTAGATTAATAAGGATTACAGGGTTCCAGCAGAGAGAGAAGCAAAGGCCCAATGGCATCCACGTGTAGAATTTCCTAATTCTCCTTAAAAAACAATTTTGTGGTTAGCCATGTTTCCCGTGTGTTATTCCTTCAGCATTTGCTTGCAGTGCCTAAGGTGTAATTGCATAATGAGCAATTACGGAATTCTCAGGTGCCGTTTATTATGTATGCCTTTTACTCCAGTTTGTGCAATATTCCTGGAATAAACGTTGTGCAGACTTCTGGCAACTTCCCTTAGTCCTACTCGCCTCCCCACCTCCCAGCTACTGTCCTTCATTTATCTTTGCAGAAGACTTATAATTAAGTGCAGTAGATCTTTACAGTTTTATAGGATGTTCGCGTCTGAAGTGTGAGTCGGCACCAGCTGTCAATCCTGGAACTCACTTGAAGCATTTTCTGAG